TAACAAGCCTCCGTCTCCACAGCAGGGCGTCTCTCCCCACCCCCTTCTCCTGCCCTGTTTCGGGTTTTTTGGGTCATTTCTCCTCAATATTGATTTATTTTCCCCTCCACCTCTGGCTTTATATTCCTGTCCCCCCCCCCTCCCCCCCTCCTTCATGTGAGGCTTTTTTTTTTTTTTTTTTTTTAATAAGTGTCCCCCCATTCCCCACAACCCCATTTCAGGGATGTAGCCGTGTAGGTCAGAGACAAAAAGAAATGCAAAACTCTAGAACTCTTGGTTCAGAGAGGATACCTTTTATTAGACCAATGAGGAAATGGCAACAAAAAAACTTATCTTTTTCTACAAGCTTTTGGGCTCAAACGCCCTTATTCTTTCGTTTTCCCAGAGCCTGAAAGCTTGCAGAAAAAGATATATATTTGCCATTTCCTCGTTGGTTTAATAAAAGGTATCATGTCTGAACCAAAAGTCTAGATTTTTGCATTCCCCCATTTTAGTTTTTTTGGTTTTTTTAAGGTATCCTCCTCTTCCCCGCCCCCCTGGGGCTTCTTCAGGTGTGCTTCCCCTGTGTGCTGACCAGGCCAAAATCCCTGTTTTCTTCCCATTCATCATGCCTGCTGTTCACTGGCCAGGCTAAAGTCCTGTCCCATCCTGTCCTCCCCCTCCACTGTTCACTGGCTAAGCCAAAATCCAGTCATGAGTTTCCCTGCTGATGATTATTCACAGCCTTAGGGAAGTTTGCTGCCAGATGCAGACTTTAATCTAGTCTCCCTAAACAAGAGCACAAAAAGACTTGTATCCTTTGTTAAGAACAAAGAAAAAGCAAGTCCTGCCTATAGCTACTGCAAAATTGCCTGGATTAGAGACTGGCTGGTTTCCCATAATAGGTGTGGGTTAGCATCACCTCTGCTTAGGAGATGGGTTTTGGCTTGGGTTTGTGACTGGGTCAGTTGAGCAGCATCATTTTTGTGACAGACTCAACTCACCTGCTTTGTCTAAGAAGAAGCTTGTTCAGTTAGGAGAGGGATCAATGTCTGTAGTCCTAAAGGCTCATGTAGGCAGCACAGAACTAGAAATCTCTGTGGTGACTTGGGGTCTGAAGTGGGACAAGCTGAGCAACCCTGCTCAGGGGGCTGAAGACAAGATCCTCAGGTACCTAAACAGATAGGTACCACTGATATCTTCAAAACCGGTACCAAGCTGCAGCCAAAACCTGTAAACTTGCAAGTGCCCCAGGTACCTATTTTTCTGCAGCCTGAGTTATCATCAATGGACATAAATGCTGATCTGCACAGGAACTGTTTGGGTCCCTGGCTCAAGTGGGAGTCTTGGAAGAGGGGTTCTTAGAATAGGTGTTTTCTGGCCTACCTTGTCAGTGGGGCACTAGTCCATTGGGCGATTGGGTGGTGGGGAGTTGTCATCCACAGAGTTCTTGGGGTTAGTGACCTCCTGGGACATGCAGCAGGGGCCTCTCACATCCCACTGCTTTAACCACCAAGCTATTGGATAGTCTGCCTGGATTTCCTGTTTTGTTTTTCACTTGCGAGTGGGTGGATTTTATAGCTAGACTGGGGGAAGTATGAGAATCAATATATCCAAGTGTGGGAGACTGAAGTGCCAGAGCAAGAGGACCACCTGTTTATCAGCCTGCAAGGAGAAACGGAGTAGTAAATCTGATTCCAGATCAAGAAATACGCTGCCCATTTGATTGCCATTTGAAATATTAACTTCTTCAGTCAGTGAAGTGAATTTCAAATGTTGCCTGGTCCTCTCATTGACTTCAGTGGGTGTAGGATGGAAGCCCATGTTGGGTATATGACAAGAGCAGTGATAGCTGTTATCTCCAGCTGTCTCCTAAATATAATTGTTAATTGGAATTCCCTTTAAGAGTTGCACTGTAACCCAGCAACAGCTGCAAACTGATTAGATTTAAAGCTACTGACAAGGGCAAATTCAGTTTTCTGATCGTTCCCTTTACAGGGGAAAACAGCTGGCTTTGAATGCTGAAACAATGGCCTACAATTATAGAGTTACAGAGAGTGGAAGAAATATGACAGACAACCTGAGGAAAAATCAAGTAAGCTAGAGCTGCAGTACGCAGAGATTTCTGTGTAATTTTCCTGGTGAAAGAATTCCCATCAAATCCTGCTATGGGTTCTATCTTGTAAAGTTTTATTTATTCACACCTGACAGTCATTAACCAATCACACCAAGAAAAGATTTTCTTGTGGTTATGGATGTGAGCAAAGAGGAAAACAGATTTGCAAGATCCAAAAAAATTAGTGCAAGGACTGTTACTTTCTTTTGTAGGAAATAAGGCATTAGTGCCATAATCTTTAGGAAAGCAAAGGTTTCTACAATTATGTTTAAGTACATAAACTAACATTTTCACACAAGTGCCTAAAAATGGGCATTTACATTCATCTTTATGGAAGTTCAGAGCATTCAGCATCCAAAAAATCAGACAGCTCGATACAGTGCTTTAACTATTGATGGTTCAGACAGCAATGCTTATATTTAAATTTTCCCTATTTTTTCTGTAAATAAGATCCAGTTTTCTGTCATTGATAAGTTTGCCAAATTTAACTATTTGAGCTGAAATTGTTCATATTAATTCTCTATCTCAGATTTTTTTTTAAGTTTCCACAAAACTTACTTGTCCGTTTTGCATAATGAGGCTGGGGAGGGAGGCGGGGGATGGAGTTATTTTTGCCAATATTTTGGCAAAAAGGTTTCCAATTATTCCTTTAAAAAGGTCTGCTACTTTTCCAGGTTTCTAGAAAAGGGAATAATCAGAAGATGTGCGCCCATATTTAATGATTTAGAGATTGTATTGAACGCTCTTTAACAATGACACAACAAAAAAGACTGAAGTTAAACCCATTGATTTGCTTTTTTTCTTTTTATTGTTAGGAGTGCTTTGTTATTATTAGTCATAGTCCTAATCTCTTGGGACTAAACATTCTGGGGTGGGGCATGCCTGAGAACTGGTATTTAAGCAAACAATTAAAATGTATTCCTTGTTTCTTTAGGCTATTATTTGAAGCAGCTTTAGGACAAGCTTGCTTGTTGCTCAGTGTCTGTAAAACACTTTTTTCTCTACCTCAAAAACCTTTATTCACTAATGAGCATATTACACATATGCATCAGCCAAGTCTTCTCACACATTACTATAAATCAAATGGAAGCATTGTTTACTAGCCTACCTATGAAAATGGGCAATAACAATTGTGGCTGACAAAGATAAATCATGTTCAGAACTGGTGCAGATGCTGAAGTTCAAAGGTGGGCTCCAGTGTTTAAGAATGGAGTTAGTTGAAAACTTAGATTATTCTTTATTTGGATGATTTGAGATTTTAAAAAAATGAAAATGGCTCTTTTTTGGGCATATTTGTCATGGCTAATCCTTTTTTTTTTTTATTCCTGTCTTCCTAATAATAAACCCCCACATTCTGAAATATTGGTATATTATGACATTGGTTTACACCAGAAGCAGATTTAAACACAGGAAAGTGTTTAAAAAATTACAGTATTTGAAAGCTAGATATAATATATCGACAGTATTTAGAATCATACTCTAATTTGGTTACTTTTTGTTAGGTATTTTCAAACTAATTTTAAAACTGTATTCTGTTACTGTTAATAAACTACATCCATCTATGTTGCTGTCTATTTAAACATTATTTTATCCATTGTAAATTAACATGGAAAGCAGTGCCATACTGAAAACATTCTAATCCTGGTATAAATCCTGCTATAAATTAATTTGACTTTCTGGTACTCTCATATGTGCTTGTTATTTTCAGAATATGTTATATGGAAATACTTTTTTTTTTACTTTTAAGAGGCATTTATTCCAGGGAGGGTGACAAATCGGGGCCAGTAAAGAGTATGTACAGGTTGGCCCGAACACCTGGGCCTCACGGACATGGTCCTGGGCTCACGGCCTGCAAGGCCTGCCCGTACACTCTAGACTAAAAAACCATAGAGCGCCAAAGGTCTATTTACATATTTACATTTCTGCCAGCGGGGACAGTAGTTCTAGAAATAACAATTCTGACTATTTACCATAATAGTACTAAGTACATATTATATACTTTGCATGTTCAAGGCATTTTATGTACACTGACTTATTTGTTATTAGACATGCTTGGCTTTAACATGTTTTCTAAAAAAGGAAATCATTTAACCTCCCCCACCAGTGTTCTGACATTCAGCTGTTTAAAAGAAGCAAGATGATCCACTTCTACAAAAGCATTTTACTGAGTGAGTCAAAGCTGAATTCATTCTTCAAGTTTGCAACGTGCCTTGGCTGCAGTTGGTGTGTAAAAGCACATTTGGTTCCTGAGTCATATAATAAAGGACTAGCTTTCTGAGCTGGGGATCCATCTGCACCGTTTGCATCAGTAGCTCTTTTCCCTCTTAATGTGTAGGAGGACTATCAATTGAGAACACCCTAAATAAGCCTGCTCCCACCTGTTGTTTCTGGCTGTAGGTTTTAAGAACTGATGAATCCAAGTGAAGTGTAGCTGTGAAGGAAATGCAGTCCCTCCATTCATGAGAAATTTCAAATTTTACCAATGGCTTCTATTATGCTGAATGCTGCTTATACATTCCTTTGCTTAACTGCTTGCTGCCTTAGGCCATCTAACACCAGGCTTGTCAACAGCATTTACTTGTCACTTGGTGTAAGAGTGTGAACAATGTTAACCAACTATTTTTCCCCATAGTGGATTTTTGTTCAACGTCTAATTTGTCCTTTCAAGGTTGAAATAAATGTGAGACGTGATGATGGGCAAACTTCCAGATATTTGGTGGTTTAACTA